GTATATGAATGAGGCAGTAGACATTGGGTATTTTGAAAAGCATCAGAAGCTATACAAATGCGAAGTGCTGTTCATGTTTTAAATGGCGTTTGACAGAATATAAAAAGTATGCTTTGAAGACAGGAAGTCAGGGAGCTCCTAACTTGGAAAGGCCTAGGAGCTCCCATACCATTCAGAAAGCCTTTTCATACTTTACCAGATGATGCCTTTTAAACTTCAGGTAAATGTCTCCAGTGACAGTTTTCTACCTTTGGAACTACCTGCTTCTTTTACAGCTTTCATTGTAACAAAATCCTTTGGAGACAAATCCACCTTCCTAGGGTCCTGGTTGTGTCTTTCACAGCATGCAGTCTGAGTGGGCACTAGCGCCCCAATGGGGCAAAAATTGGTTACTGAGGGTGAAGAAAATTCATTCTTTATCTGTAAAGCATATTTATATGTATATATATGTTCTGTATATGTAGACACCATATGTGTATGTATATGTGTTACATATGTATAAGCATATGTACATATGTGTATATATATAATATCCATGGTATTAAGGTTTTATAAGAGAGGTGAGGAAAAAAATGTCTAAAATGGTTCTTGGGTGGGCGTGATAATGAAAAAAAAAAGGCTGAAAAACACTTTTCTAGAGCAATGGGGAGTAAGCTGCTGCTTCTAAATTACAGCACGTACTGACAGCTTTCCTTCCTGTCTCCCTTGGGTCTTTCCATTTCTAGACTAAATAGTGAGGCACTGCCCTGTCCACCCTCCAAATACACACATACACATACGTACATATGTGTGTGTGTGTGTGTATCTGCATATACACACTATGCACTACATAAAATTGTTAAATGCATACTTATTATCCTAATATAAGAAGACAAATGTTAGAAACAAAGTGTATGCAGTTTGTCATACCACTCAGAAATCCGACATTGTTTGTGTTTTGTTTGCCATGTTGTAGATTTTCTGGTCTGACTCTGGAGAGCTGGTCTGTATTGCCACTGAGGAGTCATTTTTTATCCTGAAATATCTGTCAGAAAAAGTCTTAGCTGCACAGGAAACACATGAGGGAGTTACTGAAGATGGCATTGAAGATGCCTTTGAGGTAATTGACCAACACAACTTCAGCTTTGTTTTTAAATGATTTGTATTTGTATAACAGAACTTCACTGATTTTAATAAGTTAGGTTTGGGGATAGTAAACATTTAAGGAATTCCAGTGAAATCTAAAAATTAAAGTCTTGACTGAAAGATCAGAGTTTGAAAGTATGTATGTTTAAAAGAAATTTGTACTTTTGATTTTAGAAAGTCTTTAGATTCATTTTGATCTCTTTCAATAAGGAAATTGGAAGGTGATTTGGTCTTAAGACAGTTTACCCAGAGTGATTTAAATGAGCTCTCAAATGGTAAAGTTAAATCATCTGTTGTGGAGATGGTCCTGGAAGCTTTTATGAAATACTTCCTTTTCCAGTTTCATGTGTGTGAGTTTAGATCACCACTTTTAAGATCACAGCTTTGATGCAGCAGTGAGATTCTGCATTATGGATATACTCAGCCAGGAATCTGTTTTTAAATAGAGAAAGATAGAAATTCCAAGGAAATATTTTCTTTCTTGAAGTAGGATTTTACTTTGCATTCCTTATTCTACCTTATCACCCCCGATCATACTCAGTTTTTGTTATTGACAGAATTTCTAATACTTAATAAGGTAATGATAGACTATTTTCTCTCTGCAGGTTCTTGGTGAGATTCAGGAAATTGTGAAAACAGGGCTGTGGGTAGGCGATTGCTTCATTTACACAAGTTCTGTGAACAGATTAAATTATTATGTTGGAGGAGAAATAGTCACCATTGCCCACTTGGATAGGTAACTGAGTATTGTTTTGCTTTTGTCTCAGGCATCCTAAATTTAGAATTATGCTTTTTAAACAAAACCTCTTGCTGGCTTGTAGCACTGATAGGCTTGATTTTTCAGTGTATAGTTTTAGTAGGTTGGCTATTGTTGATCAAAATTGCATCAATCAAAATGGAAAGATTTTGAGCAAGAGGCAGGTTATGTGTGTTTACCTACTGATTTGGGCCTACTCCTAAATTAGTTTCTATTTCTGTTATAGGACAATGTATCTCCTGGGCTATATTCCTAAAGACAACAGGCTTTATCTGGGGGATAAAGAACTGAACATTGTTAGCTATTCTCTGCTGGTTTCAGTGCTGGAATACCAGACAGCTGTCATGAGAAGGGACTTCAGCATGGCTGATAAGGTTCTTCCTACCATTCCAAAAGAACAGAGGACCAGAGTTGCACACTTTCTAGAAAAGCAGGTAAGTTTTTTGGTCTGTTTTTTTATTTGTTTGCTTGTTTTCTTTTTGAGTGTTTTTTTTTAAACCAATTTAAAAGAATGTTAGTATAGATTGGAAAGCTATTTCTTTATTGCCACTTAATGGCAATGAAATTTCTCCTGTAAACTTAAGTCACTTATTTGACTCTTCCTTGTCCTTTCTTAATGCCCCAGTACTTTTTTTTTTTTTAAGATTTTATTTATTTATTTATTTATTTGAGAGAATGTGCATACACAGGGAGGGAGAGGGAGAAGAGAGAGAATCCTAAGCATACTTCGCGCTTAGCCAGATCCTCATGCAGGGCTCAATCCCACAGTCCTGAGACCATGATCTGAGCCAAAACCAAGAGCCAGATGGTTAACTGATTGAGCCATCAAGGGGCTGCAACTCTTAGCACCTTCTTTAAATGTTTGAAGCAATTATCAGTCTTCTCTTTCTGTAGACTTCTTTTCCATTCTGTCAGTATTTTCCTTTTTTTTTTTTTTAAAGATTGTATTTATTATTTGACAGAGAGAGACACAGTGAGAGAGGGAACACAAGCATGGGGGAGTGGGGGAGAGAGAAGCAGGCTTCCTGCGGAGCAGGGAGCCCGATGTGGGGATGTGGGGCTGGATCCCAGGACCCTGGGATCATGACCTGAGCCAAAGGCAGACACTTAACGACTGAGCCACCCAGGCACCCCAGTATTTTCATTTCTATCCTGCATTTTCCCTCTCTATGCTAGCAGGCATTTCTTTTTTTTTTATTGTAAAATATACGTAAAACTTACCACTAGTGATATGCCTTTTTCTGAATGGAGTGTTTTTAAATCAAATTTGTATGTGCACAAAGTGTAAACTTCTGCAGAGCTTAAGAAAAACAACCGCACTTCCTTTCCTCTCTCATACCTACTTCCTAGAGGTAATCACTTTTATTATTTTGGTTGATTCTTTTGGTATTTATTTCTACATCTCTAACATATTGCTGTTTCTCAGCTTTAGGCATTTCTTGTGGACTTACTGCTCTATAGACGGTGACGGTTTACCTTTATTTCTCCCCTATTTCTACAACATACATGCTATTTTTCTGTCCTTATCCTTTCAATATGGTTATATTATGATTTTGATTAGGTCAGTTTTCAGTGTTCACATTTTTATGGCTATATAAACACTGCTTACAGCTGAGCCATGTAGTGTGTTATAGCTTTCCCTTCCTGCAATTGTTTTCCTTGGAATTAATAATAATACTTTTTTTTTTTCCTTTGCTTATTTTTCTGTGTACGTATGGTTAATTCTCCCTAGATTCTGGTGGTTCTCCAGATTTCCTTGAAATCTCTTAGTATGTTTAGTCTGCTTCAGCTTGAACTGTTTTTGCTCTCATGGATATCCCCTCACCTTCATGTTGGGGCTACCCTTTGCCTCTGAGTTGGATCCATTGTTTCCTACATCCCCTATCTTCTTTCCTACTTTACTCCCTCATTTTGCTGGAGGATGTCGTTCAGTAGTTTACTGAGAGAAGGGTTATTAATAGAAAGTAAAGTTTTTTGTAACCCTGATTATCTGAAACCGCCATTGTTCTACTCTAAAACATCCTTGGCCATTTAATGGATACAGAATTCTAGGTTGGAGGTAATTTTCTCCCAAAATTTTGAAGGCATTGTTCCATTGCCTTGTAGCTTCTAGTTAGTGTTGTAAAGCCATTTATATTCCTGATTCTGATACCTGGTCTGTTTTTTCTCTCTGGAAGCTTTGTGGAACTTGTCCCTCTTGTTCTAAAATGTTATGATGGTGGGCCTCGGTAGGGGTCAGTTATTCATTTTGTTGGGTGTTAGATGGACTGTTTTAATTGGACACTCATGTCCTTCGTTTCTGAGAGAGTTTCTTGAATCATTTTCTGATGGTTTCCTTCCTTCCGTTTTCTATATTCTGTCTTTGTGAAACTATTGGTCAAATGTTAGGCCTCCTACACTGGTCTCGTTTTGTTATTCTTGTACTTTTAAAATCTTACTCTTGTGTATGGATGAAAGTTTATTTCTCTCAGGATCTGAACAATAATAAGTTTTGTCGTTGTTTGGGAGTTTTCCCCCTTCATTTCTCTCAGGATCTGAACAATAATAAGTTTTGTCGTTGTTTGGGAGTTTTCCCCCTTCATGGTATGCTTCCTTCAAGTTGCTGTTAATGGTTCATTTTGGTATTTCTTTCCTGTTAGAGATTTTCCTCATGCATCTGATGATCTTTGGGCCCTCATTTAAGAGTGGAGGTCTAAGAAGAAGCAGATCAAAAGGTCTGAGTTTGTGGGTGGTCTTGTTGGGTATGGACTTCATAACATGGATGTGGCTGGGCCATCTAATTGGGGATTCTAAGTGTCCATATGTTCATCCCATGAATTTAATGATCACTTAACATTGTACGGGCACTGCACTAGCTGGCATATGGCTCACAGGCAGTTGACATTTTAGTGTTACATCTTGGGCTGTTTAATACAGAGTTTATACCCCAAGGGGTAAGACTGGGCTTAAATCACCATCATTCTGGGATTTCATTTCGTCTCAATCTCTATTCTCATAATTTCCTATTTTCCTTTTGAAAGGTGTGTAGGGTATCCCTCAGACTGGAGACCTAGTTTACCCTCTTCAAGCAATAAACTTTCCTGTCTTCTGTGTGTCCCAGGTTGTGCAGGGAGAGGAGTGGGGACCTGGAGTATCTGTCTCTTTCCAACTTGTTACATAGACTTTCAGGCAGTTTTGTTTACTTTAGCACTGCATTCCATGAGACACCGTTGGGGATTCTGATGTGTAAATGAAGTTGTTTCTATGCTGTCCTCACTCCTGATTTAGGATTAGTGTTTTAACTGTTTAATATTCCTCTACCAGTTTTCCAGCTTCTAAAATTTTGTTACAGGGGTCCTCTGCCTTTCAGTGTCCTTGGGAATTTATGCCCTAAAAAAAGAGTCCCTTTTGTGTTATTTCAGTGGGGACTTGGGGGAAAACAGAAGTGTATTTAGGCCACCTAATTTCATCTGCTTTGCCCTTGCCTGTATCTTACGTGTTCCATAGAGCTTACATCCTCTCTTCTTGGATTTTTATTATTTACACCAGTGCTAGGAGAGAAAAGGAGTAATGCAGATTATTCAGAATGCATTGTTCACATTGTACTCGTGGATGAATGAAAGGATGGGCAGCTTGTACAATCTGGCAAGTTAAAACATTTTGAACATTAATGATACAGCCTTTCTGAAGATCCAGCTGGACAGAACTTGGAAAGCTGTCCAACTACTCCGTCTTGGCCACCCCAAAACTGAGCATTCTTCCTCATTCAAGTGAAGTCTCTTTAAATCTGAGCTTTGTCTAATGCTCCACATCCACAGAGCTGACGAACTTGCCCATAGTGCAGACTCCCATCAGTACTCTTTGTCTTAGGGGAGAGGCTAATTTGATAATTACAATAGTTGGTTTAAAAGCCTGTTTTGATGACTCAGTGGAACATGGAAGACAGTTCTAGATTTTCTGCCCTCTGGAATGCTTGCTGGTGAATAAATTGGACATAAAACCAACAGTAAAATCTATGTCAGGACCTGCAAGCCAAATGTTTGTTGAATGACCTACAGACCAGGGAAAATTGGAAGGCGGCTTTTACATTTGACTTGCCTTTTTTTTTTTTTTTAAAGATTTTAAATTCATTTGACAAGAGACACAGCAAGACAGGAAACATAAGCAGGGGGAGTGGGAGAGGGAGCCCGATGTGGGATTTGATCCCAGGACCCCGGGACCATGACCTGAGCCAAAGGCAGAAGCTTAACGACTGAGCCACCCAGGAGCCCTTGATTTAATTTTCTTTGAGGGACTAGACTAGATGATCTCTAAGCCCAGCTTAGTGAGTCAACAGCTAGGTCTAGACCACTGTGCCTTTCTTCTTTTGAAATGGCTTTTATTCACTCAACTTTCCAAAATCCTTTTTTTTTTGACGTTGGTTTGCTTTTGCATTTCTGATTTTACTAGTTTTACATGAGTTTGTGTAGCACCAGTTATCTCCTACTGCTTAGAAAACAGTATTGTGGGACTGAATTTTGTCTGCTGGTTTGTTCTTACCAATTAATTTAATGAATGACTCCTTAATTTTTCTGTCTTCACATATAGACTGCACATACACTGTTACATCTCTTCTCTGTTTAGGGCTTCAAGCAGCAAGCTCTTACAGTATCCACAGATCCAGAGCATCGCTTTGAACTTGCTCTTCAGCTTGGAGAACTGCACATTGCATACCAGTTAGCAGTAGAAGCAGAGGTATGTACTAAGTCAAGATTTTTCATAACTGATGCAAAGATTAGAAGGTACTTCTTTGTATTTAGTGTAAGTTCGCTTATTAAAGTTTTCTGAAATACAAATCAGTAACTCTCTTTGGTGAGATTATTGCCTTTGATCATTTAAAAATGTATTTTGTTAGTCTTTACATAAATTTAAATGGCTTATATTGGAGATATATTCTTAGTATTCTGATTTAAGAAAAAGTGTTTTCAATAGCTTATATGAGATCTATTTTGTAAGATGTAAGATACTAGGATACAGTAGTCTCGGAACTCTAAGAGTACAGACAGACAAAGTAGTGATTTGCCAGTATCCCAAACTAGTGAGAAAGTTGTTGGTTTTAAAGAAAGATTTTAATATTTGGACACAATTTTGTGACATTTTAATGAATTGTTACCTATTGAGGGCCCCCAGCTGTGGTTTAAGGCTAGCATTTATTGGTAAATTCATTTCAGATGTGCTAAATAAATTTCAGCTATGTTAAGATCATCCAAATGTGTAGCATTTTGATTTCTGAGAAGCTACAAAGGAGAGATAATATTGTTAAATATTTAAAGATATAAAAAGCAATCTTCTGCTCTTTAAAAAAGTGGTATTAAATCACTCATTAAAGTAACTGCAATCTAATTACCTTAAAACTCCAATTAGTATTACTTTTAGTTTTACTGTGTAATTACAAAATAAAAATATAATGGGTTGATGATTATACATGCATAATTAAAATTGATTTGTGTTTGAATTAATTTTGTATATGTGAATAACTTCCATTTTCTCATTACACATTTTGTCATTCCATTCTTATTTTGATTGATAGAACAACTTAATAGGCACAGCTCAGTATATGTATGAAATAGCTCCCATTGTCAGGATAGTAATAGGTTAACAGAAGAGTGTTGATGTTGACAATTCAAATGTTTATTTCCATAGATGTTTTAACTTGGAAACCCTTTCTTACAGTCAGAACAAAAGTGGAAACAACTTGCCGAACTTGCCATCAGTAAATGTCAGTTTGGCCTTGCCCAGGAGTGCCTGCACCATGCACAGGATTATGGGGGTCTGTTGCTCTTGGCCACTGCCTCCGGAAATGCTAGTATGGTGAACAAACTAGCAGAGGGTGCAGAGAGGGACGGCAAGAACAACGTGGCATTCATGAGCTACTTTTTACAGGGCAAGTAAGTATTTATCCTAGGTCTGAGAGAGGCGGGCATAGTAATTTAAAACACTGATTTCTGCACTGACTTTGAGGGTGGTTTAGAGAGGAAGAATGAACCTGGAAAGAGAATGGACAGAGTTCTGGCCTAGCCCTTGGCTAGTGGGGGCAGTCAGAGGACAGTGCTACCTTGGTGGCATTCGCCTTCAGCAAGGGATGCTCTTCACACATTTGGTCTAAATGAGCAAAATGAGCTGTTTAGGGAGGCTTGGACTGAGAGAAATGTTAAACCCCTTTCTCAAAAGCCCTGCTTCTCCCTAGCTGAGCCATTTTATTTTACCACGGCAGGAAGCTATTGTGCTGCTCCCGTAGTACCCAAATGGCAGGTAGTTTTACCCAAATTGGGTAGTTCTGACCTGTCCATGACAAGAATAAAAGGGGGTTGAGGATGTCAGGTATTTCTAGAACTGAGTCCAATTGTAAAGCATAAAAATATATACTTCTAAAAGTTTAGCAGTTAGTGCAAACCAAATCATCTCAACATTAGTTGACCATATTATGAAATAAAACACAAAAGTGTTCAATAACCTTGCCCTAGTGACTTTCTTAAACCTCACACTTTATTATAAAAACTTAGTGCACCCCATTGTGTTTCTATATGTATTTATAAATTTGTATATACTTGAAGGAATAGATCTGTAATTTAAAAGCCAAAATATGTCCTGAAAATAGTGTCTTATAACTTATTTGATGGCAAGACCAGAACTCTGAAGTACTATTAATTGCTTTTATGCCACTCATTTTATCACATTTAGTATTCATGTGTTATTGCAGAATATTAATGTTTATGACTTTTATTTGATGCTGAGGATGTTAGGTAATGTGTAGTATATGTACTGTATTATCCTTCTAAAACCCAAAACCCTGTGTTTTTTTTTCCCCCAAAAAAACCTGTGAATTCTAAAACACATTATCTACTTAATCAAACTTAGAAAAAAAGAAAATTGAAATTAAGAAAACAGACACTAGGACATTTTCTGGCTGGGCATCACTGGGTTGCCAGCACAGCCCACATTGGAGACACTGACCTCGATGATCCCACTTGTGAAACTGAGTTTCTGCTCCTGTATCTCCTGAAAGCCTTTAAAATGTGCTTGTCTAAGCTGCCTTAGCTGGTCTTGAAAAGCCCCCTTAGCTGCTTCTTAGGAGTTGTTTAAAACAAGTTATCAGGAGATTGAAAATGATCACAAACCTGTCCTATCCTTCATGCTCATGGAGTCCATTGATTATGTAAACACACTGGTGATGACAAGTAAATGGTTCAGTGATAGAAATGAGCTGTATGTGTGGAAGTTGGGGAAAGAATACTGACTTTGCAACACTAAATCTACATTTCTTTGTCTCTTCTTGGTAATAGTGCCTCTCCTTTTTAATCTTTAGGCTTGATGCTTGCCTGGAACTCTTGATTAGAACTGGCCGACTGCCAGAAGCTGCCTTCCTGGCCCGGACTTACTTACCCAGTCAGGTTTCAAGGTATAGACTTCTAGGTTTTAGGAACAAATGTTTTAGATAAAAACTAGAGCATACTTACTCAGTCTCCCTTTGGTTCCATGATCTCTACAATAGGGTGGTGAAACTCTGGAGAGAAAATCTTTCAAAAGTCAATCAGAAAGCAGCAGAATCCCTTGCTGATCCAACAGAGTATGAAAACCTTTTTCCTGGATTAAAAGAAGCCTTTGTTGTGGAAGAATGGGTGAAGGAAACACATGCTGATCTGTGGCCAGCCAAGCAATACCCACTTGTCACGGTGAGTCTCCAGGCAACCAGACCTCATTTATTGTGACTAGAGGGTAGAAGTGCATTCATACTTGGATTGAGAGTTAATATCTGGTATTTGGGTCAAGTTCATAGATGAATTATGACTTCAGAATATTTCATTATTGCTTTATTCTGATAGCCAAATGAAGAAAGAAATGTTATGGAAGAGGCAAAAGGCTTTCAGCCCTCCAAATCTGCAGCTCAACAGGTCAGTAGAATACTGCATGAGATAATCTGAGTAAGATTTGTTCATTTTAAGTACCATCTCCCACTTCCTAATCCTTAAACAGCTTTCCTTGGGGGAAAATTACCTGAACAAATTCCTTTATCTTTATCTGTGTCTCCACTTGGGTTTTCAGGAACTTGATGGGAAACCTGCTTCTCCTACTCCAGTTATTGTGGCCTCCCACACAGCCAACAAAGAAGAAAAGGTACAGACATCCTACCTAGATTTTCCATGGGAACTCCAGGCTCACTTCTTCCTCCCCATGAATGGTTGCAGGATGGGCAGGCCTCTGCATTTCAAGTGATGTAATCACTTTCAGAGCAGGGGCTCTGAAATGAGAAAATGCCCCTTTTGACTATTGCTTTGGTTCCCTTTGGATCATGAATCAGAGGTAACTTCAAAAGGTTATCAGAGGTAACAAAGTGCTATATAACTTTTCTTTGCAGAGTTTACTCGAACTGGAAGATCTGGATAATTTGGACTTAGAAGATATTGACACGACAGACATCAACCTGGATGAAGATATTCTGGATGATTGAGTGTAATGTTTCTTGAGAACCCACTTCACAGATCATTATTATGGACAGGTATTGATTACCATCCTGACCACAGTGCTTTGGACTCTGAGAAATGTCTTAGATTTTTATATGAAAAGGCTGTGTGTGGCCCACTGGGAGCACAGTGCTCTTCTCATCTTAGGAGTGGTTTATGTGCAGCATCTAAATCACTGTTTCCTTGTTAAGTAAACCAAATGTGGGCTTTGATTTTTTTCATACTGTCATTAGACCGTATCTCATAAAATCTTTTGAATTAATGAAAATACTTGAAAGTTTCCTTTCTAAATAATGAAAATAAGCCTCTAGTTTTAGAAGGCTGAGCCAAACTACTGATCACCTAGGGATCAGCTCACATTCTCTTAACCCTTTTTCTTGGTCACGTTCACCCTCCCCCAAGTTTATATACTTGGGTTTTTATGACTCACCCTGATTTTGGAATCTGAAACCCAGCTCCTCTGACCTCGTTAAGCTAGGCTCTGTTTGTTTAAACTACCTGTTTGGTAATACAGAAAGATACAAGTACTTTTTTTGGTCTTTGACACTGCACCTGTCTGATTAGAGTCATTCATACCCAGGCACTCAAATATACTTCTCAATTATCCCCTTGCAGCCTAGGAAAATGAGTGGAGTAACAAGGTTTTCTTTGTATTTATGTTAGAGGCACTGTTTGTTTAAAAAAAAAATTTTATATAGGGAACTCGCATCAGTACTTTTAATTTTGACAGTCTTAAACATTCAGCTCAACATTAACAGAGAAAGCAAGTTATAATTTAGTAAAATGAAATTTTAAAAAATGTCTTCAGGAAGCTGCAGAATGGCTAATGAATGTTTCTTGGTAAGCTTGTAGTGTTAATTCTATATATGCTCCCTTCTGTGCTTCTGTTTTTGCAAAGACCTGTTTAAATTTAAAAAAAAGAAACTCTTTTAAGCAATAGGACACACACTATTTATAAAGTTTTACATTTCTGCATTAGCAAAGTCCCAGTTTAAAGTCTTCTAAGGTTCACAATATTTTTTTTTTGATTATAGAATAAGCATACTACTATCTGACACAGTTCAAGCCACAGTAATTCTGAACACCAGAAGAATCCTAATATGGCTGCCAGCTCAGCCTATTTCCAGAAAAAAATTAAAACCTGACAGTGTACCTTCCTGCTAGATCAAAATGAAAAACATTAGGTTTCAAGATAAATTTGGAGGATGAGAGTCAACAAACTAATTTTTCACTTTAGAGAATATTTACAAGACTCTTTTCCCCAAAAGCATTTTGCTTTATCTGGCCTATCACAGAAAACCAAAATTAGTACCACAGTTTCTCTCTACTCCTCCTAGGGGGTCATCACTGGTCATTTTTATCCATAGAACTGCTTTGTAGCATGCATAAAATAAAACTGGGAGAGAAGCCAGACCAACAAAACCATGTCTGTTCTGAGCATTTGAAAATACACACAGAGAAATCTGTGTAAGCCCATGGTTCTGAGAGGTATGCACTTCCAAAATGATAATGCAACTAAGGCTGAGTAATATACAAGCACCACCTTCTCCCCTTCTGGACAGGAATGTGACCACACTCTAGGACAAGAGGGTGCACTGGGAACATGTGCTTACCTCATCCCTCCACCCTGCCCTGTGCTGGTGACTTGATCACCTCAAAGAACAAGGGGGCTGCTGCCCTACTCATCTGAACTACTTGGACTGCAGCTCCCCCCACCCCCATCCGTTTCTGTTATCAGATGAAGAAATATGGGACTCTAGTTACTATTTCAAGATCACAAATTTTCTGTTTATGTGAATCTGTTTAGTTATCATTAGATATGACTTACTTCAGAATTCTTCCCAACTAATTATCACCATAGGACAGCCAGTTGTGGGAAAAGTCCCTTTACCTTAATTAAATGTAATCCCTCAGCAGCCTGCTCCTTAGCCTCCTGAGCTGACTGGCCATCCGGATGGAGGAGGTGATACAGCTGTATCAAGCTGGTGGCATCATCAACCCTAGAGTGAAAGGATTTACTGCTATCAGTGGGTTTTCTTCATTTGCTTCACAGTCCTATAAAAATGTGTGCCAACTTAAAACTAAATTACACTTCAAACTTTCCTTGGGCCAGACATTTTTTAAGACTTTAGTTTTATATTTTCAAAGGCATTTTCAGAAAATCGGCTAATTTAAGCTTCATATCCATTCTCAGGTAGGCAGGGCAGGAATCAGTACAGGCAGTGCCCCATTTATGAAAATGAATATATTCTATATGTGACTGTATTCTTTTTGGAAACGGAGCATCACTTCTCATAGAAATAACATTCTTAATAGTAGGTGGCTGCCAGGTCAGCCCACTTCACCAGCAGATAATAACGTAATCCAACTCAGAGGGCAGGAATATTACCTTCATCCCACATAAGCGGAGGCTGGTGATCAGGGGATGCTCAAAGCCAGTTGCCTTCAAGTTCATTAGCAGTGACATCTAACATTTTCATTAAAGACTCTGAATCCGTGAATAAATGCCTCCACAAGAGGCCTCCTAGGAGTCCAAGGAAAGACTCCAGGCCACCAGTCTATTCATGGGAACCATTAGTTTAAAAATGAGCATCCTAGTGAAGTAAATCTGAAATTATGCTCCTGAATCAGAAGGAATGTCAGGTTCTACTTCAGCAATCTAGAATTCAGTTCTTCTGGTGTGTACTTACCTTTTTAGAAACCTCTAAACAACTTTTATAAGCATAAAAACCTCCTTGGCTTTCCCCAAACCAATCACTGTCTTCTCACATAGTCAACACTAGCCCACCATTTGCAACCTCAAAGCTGAAGGAGTAAATATCCTTTCTAAAATGCCTGTGCTTTTGAGGTTGTGTTCCATATAGTGAGTCACTAGCTTCCAGCTGCGGGGTAAAGGGGTGAAGACATCCTAATTCAGTGTTTCCCCAGCTATCTCACTAATTTTCCCTGTTTTCCTATTAAACCTGGGCTGGGGGATAAAAAGTGGAGTGACTGGGAGTAGGTAAAGAATTTCTCAAGCCATGGTGACCTTAGAGAAGTGCTCTAGGCTTATCCCAAGGCCCATCCACTCTTAAGGCCATCTTCTGGGAGAACTGAGAAACCAGGGCTGTTCATATAGTAAAATTTTTCAGGGAAAAATAATGAAACATGTTCATTATAAATGTATGTGAATGTATGTGCTTGTTATAATCTAACAAAGTCCAATAAACTTGGCAACAAAATTCCCCAAATAAAATTCCCTTTGGAGCTTAGACATGTGGTCCTATAAAGAGCTTAACTGGGCTTCTAAAATATTTAGATTCCTGTTTAGGGCTTCATTACATTCATGCTAAAGTATAATGCCTGCATCTTACTGAACAAGTTAGGTTAACACCCAGCCCATATTTGAAAATAAGAGCAAATAAATTTACATGTTCAAAAAGATTTTAAAAGAACTCATTTAAAAACCACCGTGAGTTGTGTAAGACTGATGAATCACAGACCTGTAGCCCTGAAACAAACAATACATTTTATGTTAATAAAAAAAATTTAAAAAAAAAACAGTGGGACTTGAGTCTGAAATAAACATGCAGAATCTCAGTTCTGCCTTAGGTTCCATTCATTGAGGACGTGCACCCTCTACTGTCTAGTCTGGGATTTGCAGCACGCTGTCCTGGTCAGAAATCCGACAATAGTCGTACTTAATGCACAGCAGGAAAAATTAAGTACTCAAAACTCCCTCCCAGTATACAAGTAAACTGCTTCAGATGTGAAACTTACATGTGGTAATGAGTATTAATATAATATCCTATATTAGTACACTTTGATAAAGAACTTTAATGTTCAGTTATACATTTCTTACTCTGTTTACAAAAATGTTACATGTCTTTATAATAAAATCATTTCAGAATGAGTCCATCTCAAAAACTTTATAAGACAATTCATTCACAGGAGATGTCACTGCTAAATCACCTGAAAGTAGGTACCTTTTTTGGAGTATCCTCATGACTGTCAACCAGCCCCTTACTTACGTGTGATGAAGATATATGTCTGCCCTCTGAATTGGATTACACTACACTTGCTGGTGAAGTGAGCTGGCCTGAAGACATCTACCATTGAGAATGCTGCTTCTATGAGAAATGGTGCTCGGTTTCCAAATATGGAATGTATTTCTTAGATAATACCTGTGGAACCTTCTATTTCCAAATGCCTTTGGACCTTTATGTGAATGGCTTAGATCAGATGACATGGAGGATATGCTGAATCACAGCTCCTTATAGTCTGAAGGTGGCAGTAATCACTAAACCCTCCTGTAATTCAGACTTCTGAGTCAGTCAAGGACTTTTTGTAGAAAGTTGACTTTTTTTACTACAGCCACGCTGGTTTCTTTTCCTTGTCATTTTGGCATTTCTCATCCAACTGATACTCAAAAACAATTTTCTTTTCAGTTTCATCACAAGTTGTAAAGAACACTATTGTTTCAGGTAGAAACCTGGGAGCACACCAATTAAAATACAATAGATACTCCTTGTTTCATGCAACTTTGGAAAAAAATCTAATTTTTTTTCAGTGCCTTAAAAATCTTGCAAAAGCAAGGGATATCAAAAGCAATAGTATTTTCATAAATTAAATGATGACTTTTACTGAAAAGCCCCACTTCCACCGGAAACCAGGCACCTGCCAGAGCTTATGTCTTTACATTTCCCATTTAATCCCCTTTGAGTGCCTGGGAAGTTCACTGATACCCAGGAACACTGGTGAGGCCCAGGATAAGTCAGTATCCCAGGTATATAATACAGATCCACAGCCACTTACTCTTTCAAAGAATCTCGCTCTATTTAAATAACACAAAAGCAAAGACTGAGAAAAGTGGGTTATGCTGGAAGAACCCACAAATAAATGAGGTAAGTGAAAGGTATTTATCACTAGACAATACACTGTCATCACTGAGGAAAAAATAGCTTAAATACAGATTTACTGTACTAGTACTAAGAATTTCTTTTACTTATTAGATCATACTTACAAATCTCTCTGAATCTGGTCAATCAGTAAACCATCAATCTTTTTCCTATTTACAAAATACCAAGCCATTCCACCAAAGTGTCTTGTTGAACGTAAAAGGTCATACTTTCCATGTTTATCTATGTCTTCATAGGTCTGATGATGAATCTATTCACATAAAATGCAACTTTTTTCAGAAACATGAAAATAAAAAGTGAGCATTACTGGATACACATTTACTTGCATGAGTGTTGCCCAAGAAAGGACCAGTAAACCAGGTCTATTTAT